GTTTCAAAAGAACAAAAGTTCAAGTATGAGGATTTCATTATATGCATTTATGTTTTTTTTTTATTCAAAATAATTATTTTTAAAGAAAAAAAAAAGAGATTCAATGAAAAAATCGAGTATTTTAATATTTTTTTTTGATTAAAAATTCAACCAATAAAATTTGTTACTATTTTTAGATTTTTTTTTGTGCACAAAAATTTTTTCAAAAAAAAAATTTCATTAGTTAACACTATACATGGGATTAGTGTGAATTCATTGTTAGAGATAGATTATTATTATTAAAAAAATAATTTGAAGACTATTATTACAAGGACAAGGACAAGTTTGAGGGCAGTGTTATTTATTAAATTATTATTATGATGATTTATGATGATGATTTATGATAATGAAGATGATACATGAAGTTGAGAAAGTTACAATGTTATTTATATATGTTAAAGGTTCTATCATCTAGTTCTCCAATTTCTTTGAAATCTTAATTTATCCTAATTAAATGTATTACTTGACCTTCTATTATTTTCAAATTATTTCTAAAGTGATTATTAAATCATTTAAATTCCTTTGATTAAGTTTAACCTGAGAATTAAAGGTCTGTTTTATCAAAATTAATTTGGGTTTGACTCAATTCCTAAAATCTCAATTTTTAATTGCATCTGACTCAATTATTTATACAGTTGCACCTGTCTATTTGCATACAGTATATTTGCATAATCTGTTCATTTACATAAAGGTAGCTCAGTTCCATATCAGGACTTATGAAATATTTGCATAATGTAAACATGCATGTGCATCCTGTTTCTACTAGGTCCCACTAATGTAAATGGGGTATGGACAATAGTGTTGTGTATTTATGAGGTTTCTGGGACAGAAAGCACTATTTGGTTCTCCAGACACCTGTTTCATACTTTTTTGATAGCATTAATTTTTATAGCTTACATATCCACAAGGACATGTAGGTCTTGATTTCATATCAATTTACTATGTGTTGTAACTCCAAGAAAAAAAAAATTTTTTGTCAAAGTAGTTAACAGAAGAGTGAGTGAAATGAGCAAGATGTGCATAACACATCTATAACAAAACTAGAAAAAATAATAGTTAACAGGAGAGCAAGTGAAATGAGCAAGATGTGTGTAGCACATCTATAACAAAACTAGAAAAAATAGTAGTCAACAGGAGAGCAAGTGAAACAAGCACGACATGTGTAGCACATCTACAACAAAACTAGAAAACTAATAAATTGATAAAATTTTCAAATTAAACATTTCTACTATATATATAAAAAGAAATCAAAAAATGTTATCTTATATCATTATCTATATTGCTAAAGCAATTTCTTATCTAGATGATAGTAGAAATCCATTTGAGGATGGAGATTTAGTAGAGGTCAGAGAGATTTTAGAGTATGTAGAAATACAAAAGAAATATAAGTGACCAAGAGCTAAAGCTATTTCATCTGGGAAATACACTAAAAATAAAGGAGAAAGGGTTCTGGACTGGAGGAGATGTATTATTCCAAAATACAATGAACTAAAGAACTGAAATTTAAATCCTGAGAGCAAGTATTACATTACTGATAGAATCAATAATTTTATAAAAGAAATAGAAGAAATCAAAGCAGAGAATCTTGGAATTTAAAACAATCAGACCACATAATTATTAATTTATTCTTTTATGTCCCCTTTTACCAGGAGTTTTAGGCTTAGGGGGATCACAAGTAGGAACAATTGCAAGTAGATTTGATGCTTCAGATTCAAAGATGAAGTTATGGATTTTGAGATCATCATCATATGAAGTTGCAGACATTATATTTATTTTCCCACTAGACCAATAATAACATGAGTTTTCTTTCCATTAGATTCAAATATAATCAAAAGCTTTCTGATAGATTCAATGGGATCGGCTTTATAAATGATTTTAAATGGAGGTGGATACAAATCACTAGTGAGAATAGAATCAAGCTTTGAAATATCAATGTGTAAATTAGAATGTGATACTTAAAGTTTAATAAAGAAAGGCTACTCTTAATGATTTCAACCAATTCAAGTCCATTAGATTCTTTAAGATATGTAATAAAGGTTTGAACAGCAAGTTCACCAGATTCATAGTCTTCATCAATGACCCCAAGTACTTGTAAATCACCACTTTTAGGAAAACAGCACATTCTATAATGTTATGAATCAATTAATATAACAAAGTCAAGGCAAGATTGAAAACAAGTCCCATCACCAACTTTTTTACGTTCCTTGAAAAGAGGCATTGTCATCAATTTTTTTTTTTAGTGGTTAACTTCTTGGGTTGAGCAATAAAGTTCTCAAAACCTTCATAAGTCTTGTGAATGAAATTGCTATTGATAGCAATGATATCTTTATTAGGCTCAAGTTGTTCACCAAGAGTTTTATAATCAAGGTCTTTCATGCTAAGTTTAACTGAATATATGCAAAGGGAAAGGGTTAAATTGCTAAATTTAATATTTTCGCACATGTTTTAATATATTTTTTCAGAAGCATTAATCTAAATATTTATAAGTCTAAATTGAAATTTCTATATGATACTTTCATTGATCTTATATGTTAATGCTATGTGTAAACATTTATATCTCTAAATTATAATGTAAAATAAATATGTTAATCCTAAATGTATACATTATATCTCTAAATTTTAATTTATATATATTTTATATATTATCTATATAAAAAAAATGCCAAATCGTCAAAGCATACCAACAAGTACACGTCAATTAATTCGTGATACAGCTTTTGAATGTATTGGAAATACCCCACTTCCCCATGAAAGAAACCAAAGAAATATAAATCGTGAGCATCCAATGGAAGGTATTGAAATAATAAATTTACAAAATGAGGGTGAAAATAGAGACATTCATGTTACATATGAAAGAATAATTGAGCGTCATGGGGAACAATTATCTGAAAGTAATAATTCTTTATGCCGAGAATGTTTGATGTCAATGGTATTAGGTAATGAGCTATATGAAGAATGTAAGAAAGAAGAACAAATTATTCCACAATGGATGTTTTGATACATGAAATAAAACTCCGTAATTATTTTTATGTACTCTGTAAAACTCCATAATTATTTTTACATACTCCGTAATTATTTTTTTGTATATACTCCCAAATACAAAAAAAATAAAAACAACCCCGGGATTTAGTACAATGTACTTACATAGCTAATTTGAAAGTAATAAATGAATTGGATTAATGAGTACATATGGGTTCTTTTTCCTCTTAAAACATTGTTCATATCTGATGGGAATCAAAATTCTTTGCGGCAAATATTGCATATCTGATCTGCTTTGGACTTAGTCTGGGCAATTTATGCATTATTTACGATTTTTTTTTATCATTACTCTTGTGTACTGATATAGGGACATTGAAGAGCAAATCATTAGAGTTTCTTATATAAAGTATTCGACTCTGGAAATCTATTATTGCTTGTGCTTTATCAAGCCAAGGTGTACCAAGAAGTAGTGCAGGTTTATTATCATCAACAACAATAAAATCATTTAATAAAGTAAAGAATCCAACACTTACAGGAATATTGTATACCCATCCAATTGTATCTGATTCAGTAGCGACACCTTCAAGAGAAGTAGTTCTACTTGTATCTATATCAAGTCCCAATTTTTTAGTGATATTTAATGACATTATAGAACAATTTGCACTGCTATCAAGGACAGCACTAGGGATTCTTAATTTATTGATTCGGCATTTTATAGTTACTACATCACTAGCTGGTTTTCAGAGGATATTAAATACCATAGGTTCACTAACATTTCAATAGCTGGTTGAATATTAGAAGCATTTTCAACAGGCTGTTGCTCATTCAAAGAAGTATTTTCATGAGATGGATTTTTTACTATTGTAATGAGATATTCTAGTACTTTCTTAAGCTCTTTCATATCAGTTTCATAGACATCCCAAGTTACAATCTTCTTTTTAGGTCTATTCTTCATCAGAGGAATTTTTTTTTACAGAATTTGTAGTATACATTTCATCCTCAGATTCATCTTCATCATCTTCACAAATTTCTTCATATTCAGTGTTATCTTGATCATTGTGGATGATATGCCTAACTACTTTTTTTGTCTTCTTAGCACTTTTTTTAGGTTTCTTCTTTTTAGTATTAATTCAATTCACAATTCTTCTAGGAGTACCCATTGGAAGTTGTCTGGAGAGATTATAAAGAATATAATCAATATCCATAGGATCATCAGGACGATTTTCTTCGTTATCAATATATAGCTTTCTGGGCAGTGTCTCTAATATTCCTATATCTATTGATTTTTTCAAATTTTGGATTCCAGTTCAACTTTTCTTTGCATAATGCAATCTATTAATGATTCTATGCCTCCAATGTTACCCTGATTATGCTTCAAAATATTTTTACCACAATTTATAATACCTCTGGTCATGTTATATGTATCTAACCCCCTTTTATCTAAAGCCCATGTACCTGGACCATATGTATCTTCAACATAAGCTTTAGGATCAACTTTATAATAGGTTGATTGAACCAGTTGTTGAACTGCTTGAGGTGTAATATTTTGAATTGGTTGTGGAACAATATTTTGAAATGGTTGTGGAGCAATATTTTGATCTGGTTGATGATAGAATTGAGTAAATTGTGGATTTTTAGCTAGAGAAGATTCAGGTTTTTGTTTCATCCAGAGATTTTTTAAAGTAGTAAAGAACACATTAATATTAGCAGGCCCTGCATTCTCCATTCTATTAAAAAGATCATTAGGTAGATGTCCTAGAAGTATATTAATAATATTAGGATCATTTTGCACAAACCCAATCAAATATGGATGGACTTTTCTTTCATAGCTATCTGGTGTATCAAAGGCTGTGAACTTTTCTTGCATTAAACCACTTAGAGCAGATTGCATAGTTCCAATAGTTTCTCTTTTGAATTTCTCGTTAAGCCATGTGATAAAGTGTACATCTGAATCAATATCCTGATTAGCATTTATAGGGAAATCAGCTGGAATATTATCAGGTACTGTTGCAAACTGCCCACCCATTTTGGATTTCAATATATTGAGATGTAAAGCTGGATTAATACTAGCATTTGCTCGATTACCCGCCACTACATTTCCATCAGTACTCCAGGCCCATACTGAAGATAAAACCTGCGCAATTTTTCTGATAAAATCATCAGGTGTCTCTTGACCTACAAAATTTGAAATCTTTGCAATTTCTGGTCCAATGACCTGCATAGCTTCTATAGGTGTAGCTGTTGTTGCCATGTTTTGTAATGGTTGATTAACTTGTTTATTTATTGTAAGTTATCTGTGCCATAAGGATCGATGAAGCTTACTGTGTAGGTACAAAAAAGAGGCAGTAAGCAAAAAAATAGTTTAATAAACTCATAAGATAAATTAATTGATAAGCATTGAATATAAAAACTTGCAATTAAATTGATGAGTGTAGCTAAAAAGAAGATTGTAACTTGGGATGTCTATGAAACTGATATGAAAGAGCTTAAGAAAGTACTAGAATATCTCATTACAATAGTAAAAAATCCATCTCATGAAAATACTTCTTTGAATGAGCAACAGCCTGTTGAAAATGCTTCTAATATTCAACCAGCTATTGAAATGTTAGTGAACCTATGGTATTTAATATCCTCTGAAAACCAGCTAGTGATGTAGTAACTATAAAATGCCGAATCAATAAATTAAGAATCCCTAGTGCTGTCCTTGATAGCAGTGCAAATTGTTCTATAATGTCATTAAATATCACTAAAAAATTGGGACTTGATATAGATACAAGTAGAACTACTTCTCTTGAAGGTGTCGCTACTGAATCAGATACAATTGGATGGGTATACAATATTCCTGTAAGTGTTGGATTCTTTACTTTATTAAATGATTTTATTGTTGTTGATGATAATAAACCTGCACTACTTCTTGGTACACCTTGGCTTGATAAAGCACAAGCAATAATAGATTTCCAGAGTCGAATACTTTATATAAGAAACTCTAATGATTTGCTCTTCAATGTCCCTATATCAGTACACAAGAGTAATGATAAAAAAAAATCGTAAATAATGCATAAATTGCCCAGACTAAGTCCAAAGCAGATCAGATATGCAATATTTGCCGCAAAGAATTTTGATTCCCATCAGATATGAACAATGTTTTAAGAGGAAAAAGAACCCATATGTACTCATTAATCCAATTCATTTATTACTTTCAAATTAGCTATGTAAGTACATTGTACTAAATCCCGGGGTTGTTTTTATTTTTTTTGTATTTGGGAGTATATACAAAAAAATAATTACGGAGTATGTAAAAATAATTATGGAGTTTTACAGAGTACATAAAAATAATTACGGAGTTTTATTTCATGTATCAAAACATCCATTGTGGAATAATTTGTTCTTCTTTCTTACATTCTTCATATAGCTCATTACCTAATACCATTGACATCAAACATTCTCGGCATAAAGAATTATTACTTTCAGATAATTGTTCCCCATGACGCTCAATTATTCTTTCATATGTAACATGAATGTCTCTATTTTCACCCTCATTTTGTAAATTTATTATTTCAATACCTTCCATTGGATGCTCACGATTTATATTTCTTTGGTTTCTTTCATGGGGAAGTGGGGTATTTCCAATACATTCAAAAGCTGTATCACGAATTAATTGACGTGTACTTGTTGGTATGCTTTGACGATTTGGCATTTTTTTTATATAGATAATATATAAAATATATATAAATTAAAATTTAGAGATATAATGTATACATTTAGGATTAACATATTTATTTTACATTATAATTTAGAGATATAAATGTTTACACATAGCATTAACATATAAGATCAATGAAAGTATCATATAGAAATTTCAATTTAGACTTATAAATATTTAGATTAATGCTTCTGAAAAAATATATTAAAACATGTGCGAAAATATTAAATTTAGCAATTTAACCCTTTCCCTTTGCATATATTCAGTTAAACTTAGCATGAAGGACCTTGATCATAAAACTCTTGGTGAACAACTTGAGCCTAATAAAGATATCATT